GCATATCCGCTCCATCACATCTCATTACTCAGATCTAGTCATTATAATCATTAGTTTAGAAAAGAATAAAAGTCCTTTTTAACTAAATACTGACTCTGTCTGAATGAATACGAAGTGTGTTTATGGTCCCTGAACAAGTAAAAGTAACTAGAATACTCTGATTAAATGTTCAAAGATCAATCAGGTTGAGGCTTCATATAAATATGGAATCATCACATCTTATTGGTCATAATTCATTTGCAGTCGTCGCGTTATAAAGTGTGACCGCTACACATTTTTATAACTATATCCTGACTCTGTCTGAATTAATATGAAGTGTGTGTTCCCTGAAGAGTCAAAGAACCTAAAGGTAATAAGTCGAATCTTCACCGACCAATCAGGTTAATGATTCATATTTATATGGAATATCACATCTTATTGATCGTTTCACTTAACAAATATGTAGCCACTGGTTAGGGTTACTCTGCTGTCAGCGGGCTGCAGAGTAGCAGCGACAGACAGATCAGGTGTTTCACTGAGATCGGCCACAGATTCCTCTGCTGGTCAACAACCTGGGAATTCAAATAAAAGACTCAACAATCCTGCAAAAATACGACCGTTAGTCCCGGTTTCATCTGATGCTGATGCCCGACCCTAGTGTGTGTGTGTGTGTGTGTGTGTGTGTGTGTGTGTGTGTGTGTGTGTGTGTGTGTGTGTGTTTGCATGGGAAGGGAGGTGTTGTTCTGTGGGGGAGGGGTGGTAAATGTTGTACCAATCAGCACTTTTCATAAATAAATGAGATTTTATTTGATTTACAGTCAGGTGAGAACCATCTGGAGTCAACAACAGGGATTGTGTTTGTGGGGTCAGGAAAAGGTGCCATTGTTTACACGGAGGGGGAGGAGCTTAAACCCTGAAACAGAAGCAGCCACTAGCGGGCGCTCACTTTAGTTCTGATCTCCAGCTTGTGTCCTTGTATCAGCTCTAAACCCAGGAACCAGTCAGCATCCGGTCCTGGTTCTGCCTCTGGTCTTTCAGACAGAACCCAACAGAACCATCACCAGGTCTTGGACCCCAACTTGGTCCCATCTTTGGTTTCAGCTGCTCTGATTCTGATTTCAGGTCGCAACGGAAGCTGCAGCTGATGCTGTGTGTGTGTGTGTGTGTGTGTGTGTGTGTGTGTGTGTGTGTGTGTGTGTGTGTGTGTGTGTGTGTGTGTGTGTGTTATGTAACCTCCTGAGCAGAATCAGGCCTGATGGCTCATGTTAATCATCTGAGAGAGTCCAGGAAGCCTCGCCTCCATCTTTAGATCCTGCTGCCTCCATCGTGTCTCCAGCTGAGCTCAGTGACACGTTTTCATCTCTGATGGTCTGTTTTAATAGTTCTAATCATGTTGGAAGAGCGTGTGCAGCTACAAGCGTGTAATTACTTCCTGCTGATGTTTCTTCTCCTCCTCCAGAGCAGCCAATGCCCTCCGGATTAAATCCATTTATCAGGATAAAAATGGCAGCATGGAGAAGCTTCACGTGTAAGTACTCATCGTGCCGAGCGGGAACGGCGGATCTGCAGCCTCCTTTGGTCACACACGCTTTACTGAAATGAGAAGTTTCTCAGTCCAGCACGTTTCTGACTCGCTCTCCTCATCTCTGCAGTTTCTGAGGGTGCAGCGTTACGTTTGGGGTCGCTCCAAGACGAGGTGTTCAACAGCACAGCGTCCATTACGGAGCTGGCGTCCAGACTTGATCACTTGTGACGTGCAGGTGGCGGACAGACATTTAACAATGTCAACGTTTCAAAGCACACATCTCAGTCGAGATGTTACCAAACATTTCATCACCTAGTGCGCCTCCCAAGAGCCAACACGAGGCTGAGCGCCGTTTTCAGCACCAGCCTGCTGGACCCAAGCCGTTGGGTAAGGCTTAGGGTCCTGACCCAGGAGGGGGGGGGCAATGTGCCGGGCTCTTAAATGAAGCCCCAGGCTTGACTGATTCTGTTGGCTCATAGGCGGGCAGCTTTGACCAACTGTTGGGTTAAAATCTACCCAGCTGGCGGGTTGCAGACCATTCTCAGGAAACGCTTCCTCATCCTCACAAACGGCCATTTTCAAAAGGCCGTTGGCCTGATCAGATGAAACTGGACTTCTCTACTATGAAATAAACTGTGGGCAGTCAAGTGATTTATTTTTACTGCCACTGACGTCAAACCCAACCGCCCAGTCACTGGTGACTGATTGCATAAACGAACCCTCAGAAATGCTGGCAGTCCTGAGTTAACGGTCTAAAGACTAGGGTTACCATGGGTACAACCCCCCCCCCCCCTTCCTGGGTCAGGACCCTAACCCTTACCCAACGGCTTGGGTACAACAGATGTGTTCTAGAATGCAGTGGAGTGGTGATAGCAGTGTTGCCAACTCGGCGACTTTGTCACTGTTCCTAATGACTTTTTGACCCCCCCTCAACGACTTATTTTCCAAAAAGCGCCTAGCGACAAACCTAGCAACATTCCTCAGGACCCGTTGCTACTTTCTGTAGAACTTTCTTGTAGATATTCCCCACAGATTAGCAACAAAGAAACCGTTTACACTCTGAACCGTTCTTCCGGGAGTAAGGAAAGAGAACGATAATCTGCGCATGTGCACGAGGACCGACCAATCATAAACCGTTTTCGGCCGGTCTGATTCGCTGAAGCTGCAGAGCTGGAGACCGCCGATTTACGTCTGCTGCTTTCATATTGCTGCAGGCTCACGCTTCTACTAGAGACGGCGCGGGCGTCAACCTGCCATCTCTGGTTCTGCAGCCGTCAGACACTTTGGTTTTTCCTGCATTTGGCAAATAAAGTCATCGGGAGTTTCAACCACCGTCCCGTTTACACACGCAGCTCTGTGGCTCATCTGAATCTCCTTCAGTGACACAGGGATGGTTATACTTTGAGACACCCGCTCCCTTTTGCTCGGTGCGCCGTTATTATCACGATGGAGAGAATACACAACAGAGAAGTTGAGAAACTATGAGGTGTAAAAAATGCTTCTTAAGGAAAATGTCTGTGAGAATGAGGAGAGCAGGAGGTCTGAGTTATATCCTACAACAGAACTGGTTGGATCACCACACCATATCTGTCCTAATGCCACTTTATTGGTACTTTTGGAATTTATTGTACATATCAAAGCAATTTAGGCCATTTTAATCATACTAATAAATAACTTTAACATATAACATAGTTTTTATTTTCCTCCCTTTTAGTCCTATTATATATATATATATATATATATATGTGTGTGTGTGTGTGTGTGTGTGTGTGTGTGTGTGTGTATATTAGATGCTATGGGGAAAACGAACGCTAATGTGGCGTGATGACGTCATCAATATGTAAATTAGCATGTGACGTCATCTGGCGACATTTGGTGACTTTTGGGGGGAACTTCAGCTCCTTTCAGTCAAAAACAGTTGGCAACACTGGGTGATGGGCCTTCAAACACACAGCAGGCTACCAGCTAGCTTGTGATGTAAAAAGCTGTGGTTAGCCTATTTCTAGTTTAAAACCAATGACATGTTTTGAAGTCGTCGTTGGAGACTAGGCGTGTGTTTGATGCTTTGGCCGTGTTTACACACGACTGCATCTAGAAATGTGTTAGAGCCGCAGTTTGACAAAGCTTCCGACTGGACCGTCCTTTCACCTGTCCGGTTTACCGCCGCAGCTCTCGGCTCCAGGTGTCAACAACACTTGACATTAATCAAACTTTTTCAATGTTTTGCTTTTCTAACTTTGACTTTCTTTCTTTAAGCAGCGGCGGTGCAGCCACAGCAGGAAACGTAGGCCAACACCTGGGTTTCTGGAGCAGTATCTCCACAAGGGTTCGTTCTAGCAGGAGGAATTCAGCACCACAGGAATGATGCACCAGGTAGAACATCTGTGCTCATGAAGTCATCTAAGCTCAAAATTCCAGAGTGAGACCTTCCGGGGTCTGAATGTCATACTTGTGTTTCCCACAGAACCAACTGTTGTCCAGAACGGCTGAACGACAGCGTCCAACCAGCAGCTCGGGTCACATGGGTTAGGGTTAGCCGTTTGCAGTTCCCTGCTCGTTGGACCCCGCGGGCGTGGCGAGGTCACGACTCAGACTAAAGAGTCTGTTCAGCTGACTCGTGTTTGAAAGTCCACTCAGGCCTGATGAACGTACTGAAGGTTATACGTGAAATGCTGTCTTGTGTCTAAATGGTAAGCGGCCTGTTTTTGTGTTCAGGGACCTGAACCCCCCAAGGCGCTTTACAGCACAATCAGTCATGCACCCATTCACACGTTGTTGTGGATGAGCTACCATGGAGCCACCCCGGGGCAGGCCGACAGAGGCCAGGATTGCTCCACTGGCACCCCTCTGACCACCACCAGCAGGTGGGGTGGGTTGGTGTCTTGCTCAAGGGCACAAGAGCAAAATTCTCTGGCAGGAGCCGAGATCAAACCTGCAACCTTCTGACTACTGGGCAGCCCGCTCTACCTCCTGAGATCTTGTGTGTGTGTGTGTGTGTGTGTGTGTGTGTGTGTGTGTGTGTGTGTGTGTGTGTGTGTGTGTGTGTGTGTGTGTGTGTGTGTGTGTGTGTGTGTGTGTGTGTGTGTGTGTGTGTGTGTGTGTGTGTGTGTGTGTGTGTGTGTGTGTGTGTGTGTGTGTGTGTGTGTGTGTGTGTGTGTGTGTGTCGTGGAGGATGGCTGCTTATACTGAGCCAGGATCCTCTGGAGGTTTCTTCCTGTTAAAAGGGAGTTTTCCTCTCCACTGTCGCTGCATGCTTGCTTAGTATGAGGATTGCTGTAAAGACTCTGACTCTAGTCAGTGACTCGATGCAACCTGCTGGGTTCCTTACATAGGGAACTTAATGACCTGACCTGTGCTGTTTACTGTGTGCAGGTCCTCGAGACTCGGGTCGTGACTCGGAGCTTTAGAAATAAACTTGATTGTAATAAATGTATTCGAGTTCGATGGTTCTTCTAAATGTTGCAGAACCACAGAGACCCAGAAGTTCTGGACTCACCTGCTGTTGCTGCTGCTCGGTCCAGATGTTCTGTCTGCTCATCCTGCAGTCCTGGTTCCGTCAGGGCTCAGACCCAAGAGTGAGGTCATGGCAGTCACAGAACCACAGAGCTTCTTTCTTCAGAACGACCAGAAACACCGAGTCAGAACCGTTAAGTTCGGTCAGATCATATTAGGTGTAGACTTCACGAGTAGACGAGGAGGAACCCACCAGGACGCCGCAGTCCCGGTTCGGTTGTATTAAAGGGCGGCTCTACTCCGGAACGGGTCAGTTTGGTGGCTGTGAGAATGGACCGGGCCGGCCGGCTACAGGTCCGTCTCCCGGGTGTCAAGGCAGAACGCGTACAGGGACTTCTTGAAGTCCATGCTGCTGTTGGCTTTGATGTTGGACTTGTCCGCCGAACCGCTCTCCGGGTTCTCCCCGTCCTGGGTCGCGCGGCTCCCTTTGCGCATCACCTCGGGACTCCCCCGGCTGCTGTTGGGCTCGTCTTTGAGAGAGGACTGGTCCTGGTCCGTCTCCCGGTGGTAGAAGTAGTTAAAGTTGGACACGATGACCGGAACCGGGAGCGCGATGGTCAGAACCCCCGCGATGGCGCACAGAGAGCCCACGATTTTACCCCCGACAGTCACTGGCCTCATGTCCCCGTATCCCACCGTTGTCATGGTGACAACTGCCCACCAGAACGCGTCCGGGATGCTGGAGAAGTGGGACTCCGGTTCGTCGGCCTCCGCGAAGTAGACGGCGCTGGAGAAGAGGATGACTCCGATGAAGAGGAAGAAGATCAGGAGGCCCAGCTCCCTCATGCTGGCCTTCAGAGTCTGGCCCAGGATCTGCAGCCCCTTGGAGTGTCTGGACAGCTTGAAGATCCTGAAGACCCGGACCAGGCGGATGACCCTGAGGATGGCCAGAGACATGGCCTGCTGTCCGTTCTGGTGCTCCTGGCCCTGCTCCGCCAGCTCGGTGCCCACCGTGATGAAGTAGGGCATGATGGCCATGATGTCGATGATGTTCATGATGGTTTTGGAGAACTCGGACTTGCTGGGACACGCGAAGAAGCGCACGAACAGCTCGAAGGTGAACCAGATGACGCAGGTGGTCTCGATGATGAAGAACGGGTCCGTGAAGGTGAGGGACGGGCGCGGCGCGGTGCTGTTGTCCAGCCGGCTGCTCACCGGCAGCTCGCGCTCGTCCCGGAACTCCGGTAGGGTCTCCAAGCAGAAGGTGATGATGGAGATGGTGATGACTATGACGGACACGATGGCGATGCCTCGAGCCGGGCTGGAGCTCTCCGGGTACTCGAATATGAGCCAGACCTGCTTCTGGAACTCGTTCTGGGGCAGCGGCTTCTCCTCCTCCTTGATGAAACCCTCGTCCTCCCGGAACCGCTCCATGGCCTCCTCCCCCAGCTGATAAAACCGGATCTCATCCGCGAAAACGTCGATGGACACGTTGACCGGCCTGCGGATCTTCCCTCCGGACTGGTAGAAGTACAAGATCCCGTCAAAACTGGGTCTGTTCCGGTCGAAGAAGTACTCGTTCCGGAGCGGGTCGAAGTACTTGATCCTCTTGGCCGGGTCCCCCAGCAGCGTGTCCGGGAACTGGTTCAGGGTGCCCAGTTGGGTCTCGTACCTCAACCCGGCTATGTTGATGAGGACCCGCTCGTTGATGTCCGTGTCCATGTCCATGTCCAGCATGTCCTCGTCGAACAGGTGCGGACTGTGGTCCGCGCGTAAAAGCGCGTCCATGGCGTTCTCGCTGCAGCTGAATGTGTTGTTCATGTCGTTGATCCTCCACGGACTCCGCTGCTGCTGGGGACGCCCCCGGACCGTGTTCAGCTCCTTAGCGAACTCCTCTCTCGGTCCGAAGCTGGACTGAGGGACGTCCAACGCGTTCCGGTGGCTCTCATCTCCGCCGCCGCCGCCGCCGCTCCCTTTGGCACCGCCGTTCTCAAAACTCACCAAGGCGATCTCCATCACAGAGCCATCAGCAGCCGGAGACCAGTACAGACCTGTTGATCCGGAGCCAAAGTACCGAGTGGCGGACGGAACCGGAGCTGTTAGAGACTCATGCTGCTTCCGTCCGACCGAGCCTGATGAGGTTCAGCTGGAAGTGAGACGCGGGTCTCTCCTCCTCCTCCTCCCTGGGTTTATCTCAACCCATCAGTATCTCTCTCTCTCTCTCTCTCTCTCTCTCTCTCTCTCTCTCTCTCTCTCTCTCTCTCTCTCTCTCTCTCTCTCTCTCTCTCTCTCTCACCCTTCTGTCCCTTTCCTCTGTTTCTCTCTCAGATCCTGAGTTAGATGATGTCTCCGTCTCCATGGTAACGTGCTTCTTCAGTAACAGATGGGACATGTTCCTGTCCCTAGAGTTCCACATGTCTCGATGTCCATGCTTCCAAGGCACCAGGTGTTTCTGTCTCCGTGGTCATCGATGTCTGTCCCTACAGTTACCATGGCAACATGGATCCCTGTTTTTCTGGAGACAGAGACATCTGTCAGTGGAAAAGCAACATGTCACCATGGAGACCGCTACATCTGTTACCTCGGAGACGGACACACAAACCCTGTTTCAGTGTTGTGGTCTCAGAGCCCAACAGCGTGGTTCCAGGACGGCGGCTGATGCAGGTAAATTAGGGTCACCATCACCGTGACCTCTGGGTGTGACCTTTGAACTGCACGTTTCTACACTGAAAAAAGTCTAACACGCAGTCATTCATTCAATCTAATAAGTGCCATTCAAAACATAATAAAATCATTGATTTGATTGTGAAACCCTTTCTGTTTGCATTTTAAACACTTTTCATTTGGATGAAACTAAATATCTGCACAAAGGACACAACACAAAGTTTTAGATTTCTCTCAAAACATATATTTCCTTTCATGTTGAACAGATAATATCTTTAATTTGAGTCAAAGTGCTTTGCACTTGAACACGCCCACCAGAAACCGGGACCCATGTTTGTTCTGCATGGCTGCTGGAATCGTGTCACATCTTTGATTAATTTCATCTGAAAATAAACGTAAAGCCAAGTGTGTTACAAAAGCTTTTATAATTTGTATTCCCAAAATGGCAGAAAATAACCACATTTAAGCTAGGTCGACAGCCACCCCCAATTTTTGCATGATTGTAGCTGCTAGCTAGCTAGCTATCCGACACCACGTTAGAACTGGTTACCAGCAACCGACCATCTTAGTAGGGAATGCAAGTTAGGCAAATTGCCTTTGTTTACCAGCCGTTTTTTTTACTAACTAGCTAGCGTTACCACGATGCATCGGTGGTGGATACAGCTAGCTAGCATAAGTTCATAGTTCATAACATTCATAGTATAACTCCGTGCTCCGCTTCGTTTGAATTTTTCTGGTGATCTCGCGGTTTCTAGACACAAGCTTGTGTTTGTGCGTGCACGTTTGTCTCTCTTCATACAAATATCTTATAATTATTATTAATGTGCATGATTTAGAGACAGAAATAACCCGCCAGCATATAAGATGAATGACAAGACTAATTCCTTCAATTGACTTTCAGGCGCGGCTCGGAAAAATGTGCATTTGCTGAAGAAATTTTAATTTTAACAGCAAAAAATTGACCCTATGCCAAACGTAGTCGCTAATGGCTGGTCTGTAGACTGTTTGGTAAACCTAAATCAAATTATAGTACTAGCTTCTTATAAGGATGTGTGTTACGTATTTCTTGGTTTTTCTATGTTATGTGTTTTATAGAGAAGTAACATAATTTTTTTTGTATGCTTTCAAAACCACAGATCGCTCCATCTGAGAGGTGAAAAAATTCCTTTCATGCAGCATTCTATCCATATTGCATAGAACAATTTTAACTGTTCCTGCAGGATGCTGATGCTGACTTTAGGAGGGAGTGTATACTTAAATCTCTCATTATCTACCTTGGAGAACGTGTTGAGGACTTGATAAAAGAATACATGGTATGTCCATATCTGTTCTGTCTCTACATGAGATGCAGTCTCTTGATGTAAATTTGACAACTCTGCTATTAAATGCAGTGATTAATGTAGAACAGCAACGATTAATCAACTCTTCAAGTTAATATCTTAGGGTTCTGTATTGTTTTCTTATTTTTGTTGGGCTTTGTGGAACATTTATGAAAATGTTCCACCATTGATTAAATTTAATAATTATGCAATTCACAATCTGATTAGTCAAATAATTGTTTAACAGTCTGTGACCAAACAACTATCAAAATAGTAGTTTATTATGGTCAAAGATGTTTCATGTGTGCCAGACTTCAGTTCTTCACTTGTACATTTTGATCCATATTTTACCTCCAGATGTCCCAGAAAGATGAAGCTGAGGAAGAGCTGCAGAGTACCACCATGGCACTCTTCGTCTTCAGGGACAACTCAAGCCTCCTACATCAGCCTCGAGACATCGGGATAATCACTGATGGTGTGGAAGTCCTGAATGAGTTGCCTTCTGTGTCAGCTGGAGTGGCAATGGTCTTTGGACTCTGTTATGCTCTTAATATGGAAAATCCACGAGGATTCAGGCTCACCTTTGAGGCTCTGCAAAAGATTATGATGGAGCTTGACTTTAACAAGATGACCTCTAAGATTCGCAAACTTAATTGTGAACTTAACACTGCACAGTAGTGTGTTTGCATGCATGTGTGCATGTGTATGTGCACATGCATGTATGCATGTGTATGTGCACATGCATGTGCATGTATGCATGTGTATGTGCACATGCATGTGCACATACACATGCATGTGTGCATGTGTATGTGCACATGCATGTGCATGTGTATGTGCATGGTTGCATGTGTGCATGTGTATGTGCACATGCACACATGCACATGCATGTGCATGTGTATGTGCATGGTTGCATGTGTGCATGTGTATGTGCACATGCACACATGCACATGCATGTGCATGTGTATGTGCATGGTTGCCTGGTTGGCCTGCAGTGGTGTTCTACATTCAAAAATGGTAAGAACACCCATTTGAAAGGGAGATTTCAGTTGATTTTATTGTGTAGATTTTCATATCAAGTGACTCAATTTGGATTCTATGGAGTGAAATATTTTGGATGTGACCATTGGACATCACTTTTTTAAACTTCAATAGTGTTTTGCTTTTCACGGTGTATCTGTTTCCTCTGAGCTGCTGGATGACGCGTCTGTGTGTTTGCTTGTGTGTCCACCATCAGCTGTTAGTCATCCTGGAAGCCTGTAGCAGCAGAAAGGACACGCAGGAAGCCGGTTGGTCGCTTCCTAACGGCAGAGAACGCGGCCCACTTGAAAGGTCGCGCTGTTTGCCTTCGGCTGCGTCAGAAAACAAAGCAGGAGCACTAAATTTATCCTGTTTCTTATCTGATGCTGCAGCCTCATCCTGATGAGAACCCCCACCCCCGCTGGATGAAAGCTCCATCCACACACTGCTGCAGCCATGAATAAAAACTCCCATCATCCATCTCTCCGAGTGGCCAGTGGCAACGCAGCAATTTCACGCACTGGATACACCATTAGAAGGCTTCAGCCCGCTTTATAAAGTCTGTCATGTGAACAGAAAACGTGGAGCTTTTGGCTAAAACATCTCAAACGTCATGATGAAGTTGTTGTGATCTAACGACCTCTGTCTCGACCCCTACCCGGTCACATGCACTCCAAACAGACCCATGATTCCAGTGAGATCCCGAAGCGTTCCCAGACCTGTCTGAATCCCTCCAGCACATCCTGGCTCTGTCCCTGAAAGACCTCGTCCACTCATCCTGGAAGACCATCGGAGGACCAGCATCCTCTATCCCGCCACTCCCATCCTAACCTTTAAAGGTGACACGTCGTCATTATGGAGGCGCGGCTGGGACGTATTCTAAAGGATGCTCGATGGCGTGAAGATCCCCGTCTACTGAAGAACTCGTGTAGAAGGAGCTGTTTCACTAAAGCATCATGTGACACCACAAGTATGATCTACAGCACCTGAAACACACCTGAGCTCTTCAGTTCAGTGTAAGTGGACAGAATATTTACAGGTTGGATGTTTGGACGGTGGCGGCTACGCCATCAAGGTGAGAGCAGATCTGTGTTACCGGGTAGGAGCGCTCAGCAGCAGCTACAGGCCAGTGCTGGCTGGTCATCAGCTTCGGGGGGATTCAGTTTCACAGGTGTTGTGCTGAAAAGAGCGTGCCAGCTGAGAGTTGCATGACCTGCTATGGGACGGGTTAGAGTGAAACCACTTCACCTGCTGGTTCTGGTTCTGGTTCTGCTGGGCTGTGGCCCACACACAGCTGAGCTGTCCAGGTCTGAGATGATGCTCAGATGTTCTGATGGGAATCTTCTCCTGATAGATCTTTGTGATGTTCTCTGTAACGTGCAGAACGTCTGCTCACCTGCACGCGCCGGTCGGGTTCCAGCCTTGAGATTTCTCTGTTAAATCACCGGTTCTGATGGGGGGGGGTAGAACCTCCGGTAACCGGATCCCTGCCTACGTGGAAGTTTGAGTCTGCTTGTGAAGATAGCATGGAGCCGGTCACACAGCAGCAGTGGACCAGTTTCTGCAGGTTTCTAAGCTCACACCACACACCAACGCTTCCCTTGTTCATGCACCTCGCCATCCCATCATGCACCGCGCCACAGCGCCCACCCGTCACCCGAGCAGGCCAGATGCCTCTGGTTTCTTTAGTATTTCTATTTTCACGTTTCTGGTACAGACCGTCCTCTCCAGAAAGGATTTGTTCACAACACCAGGTTGAAGCTCCAAACTCCAGATTAGACATTCCTGATGGAAGGTCCTCCTGGTGAGTGTGTGTGGGAGCACAGCCCCCTCTGTGCTGCTTGAGGTCCTGCTGCCTGTTACTGAGGGAAACCGTAACCATGGCAACATGTAAATGTTAACAGCCAGCATCCAGAGCAGCTAATTACCAGCCTCAGACACACATCAGCACATCAGCGGTTCGGTCACAACCACATCGGTTCTTCCTGACTAGACCATGGATAGACGGGCCAATAGATAGAATGGTGTGTGTGTGTGTGTGTGTGTGTGTGTGTGTGTGTGTGTGTGTGTGTGAGAGAGAGAGAGAGTGTGTGTGTGTGTGAGAGAGAGAGTGTGTGTGTGTGTGAGAGAGAGAGTGTGTGTGTGTGTGTGTGTGTGAGAGAGAGAGTGTGTGTGTGTGTGTGTGATCACACCATGATGAG